GAAAACCTTGTGGTGGGATTCCTTAGGGTCACCATAAGTCAGAAATGACTTGAAAACACAGAACAACAACAAAATACCATGATGCAGAGATCTTGTAGCACCTTTGAGACTCTACAGACTGGCCCAAAGGGCCAGCCTTGAGGCAGAAATGGGGCAGGGCAGCCGCACACCAGCCACCAAACTCCATGCCGACAGCGTCCTGAGAGAACACCTTTCTAGAAATCTCTAGGTCCTCCAGTGCAACTCTGTGGTCAACATCTGTCAGACATTGACTATAAAATTAAGCTAGAGGAGCTACAAATGCCTAGTGGAGTGTTCTCTCTAGGAATCTCTTGGTCCTTCAGTGCAACTTTTGGTTAAAGTTGACCATAGAGTTGCACTGGAGGACCTAGAGATTCCTAGAGATAACATATTAATAAAATCCGTGAATAATCAAATCCGCAAAAGTCAAGGCCGCAAATGTGGCAGGACGAGTGTATTTCAAATACTGCTCCTAGTTATCACGCAAACATCCATGCAGCTGGTTCTTTTTTCAGTGTTGAAATTCCAGCATGGAAAAGAGGGAAAGGATTTATGGTTCTCATTAGAGATGTGTAGCTATGGGGGAGGCAAAGTAAGGGCATTGCACTTCCAAATAGGAATCCTGTCCCCTCATGGAATTTACCTTCAGTTTTCAAAGTTCTAGTACTATAGAAAGTGAAACACTGAAAATCTGTCCTGCTTATATTTGTTGTGTTCACATTCCCTTGGTAACTGTGCCTGCCACTTCTGTTTGGGGGGATGCAGATGGGCGGTCGGTCCTTCCAGAGCTGGCAAATAGGGCGCCCAAAGAGCGCACTAGATTGCCGGGGACGCTGTGCCAGGAGGACGTCTTGGCAGCGCGCACTGTGTGTAATGGCACGTGCCATGATGACATCCTTGGGAAGGGGTTGGGGCACCCAGAGTGTGGTTGCCCTCCCCTTTCCTGCCTCCAAGATGGAGCAAAGCCCCATCTGTAGAGGCCCTTTGTGTGCCTAAATCATATTTCTAAATGTTCAAATGAAGTTTTGTATGAATGTAATATTAGAAATTTGGGGACTGAAGGGAAATTTCATGAGGGGGGCAGAATTTTTAATTGGGAGGCAATCCCCTTCCCCCCCTTTCTCCAATACCTCTGGCTCTATACCAACCATGAAACTGGTATAGATCAGTTTCTTCCCATTGAATCCAATAGGAATTACTTTTTGAAAACCCTGTTTTTATGCCTTTACTGCTGTGGTTGTTTTAAAATTCCATTGGTACTGTTTTAGGAAAACCATCCTGACAGTAAGAGCTGTTCAGCAGTGGAATACACTCCCTCCGTGTGTGGTGAGGTCTCCTTCAAGGTTTTTAAACAGAGGCTGGATGGCTATCTGTTGGGGATGCTTTGATTCTGTGGATTAGGTGGCCCTTGCAGTCTCTTCCAGTTCCATGATTCTATGATTTTCTATTATTCTAATTATCCACTCCTTCTGATTTTAAGGGTCCCATTGATTTGATGGGTCAACTGTAGTTGGGAATAACCATTGGATCTAGGCCCAATGTTTTCAATAAGATTAGATACACATTTGGCAGCCAGGCACCAAATGTAAAATAATAAAATGCAGCAAAAGAAAGCAGTTTACTGGTATGTGTGTGAGACTGGAATCAAGAGTTCCTAGGTACATATTTTTATTTATTAGAGGAGAATTGTTCTTCATAGCTGTGCATGCCTCAGTAATACAACATTCCTCCTAGACTAAAGCTACATCAAAAAGAGACCACATAATGCCAGTTTTAAAATCTCTTCACTGGCTGCCCATTAGTTTCCAGGCCCAGTACAAGGTGTTGGTTATTCCCTTTAAAGCCCTAAATGGCTTGGGTCCAACCTACCTTTGGAACCGCCTCCTCCCGTATAGCCCACCCCATGCCCTCAGGTCCTCTGGGAGGAATTTGCTGCTGCCTATGAAAACTAGGCTGTCTGCAACCGCCCAGAGGGCCTTCTCTGCAGCTGCTCCCAGATTTTGGAATGGCCTGCCAGATGAGATCCATCATATCACCAACTTAGCCAGCTTTAAAAAGGCTGTCAAGACGGATCTCTTCCGGCAGGCCATTCCTGATTAATTATCCCAGCCTCAATTCTCCCCCGCTAGCATTATTGTTGCCGCAACTACTTCTATTGTTCCTTCCATGTTACTGTGGTATATTTTAAGTATATTTTAATAGCTTGATTGTTTAATATTATCTTAAGGGGGGTATGGGTCTTATAGTGTATCTCTATTGTATTTTTAATGCTGTAAGACACCCCGGTTGCATTCACAGAGGGGCGAGATAGAAATAAATATTATTATTATTATTATTATTATTATTATTATTATTATTATTATTATTCCTCTTACACCTAATTTCTGAGATCTTTAAGTTCTCTACTGATCTGTGGATGGTTGTACTTCAGTTTTGTTGTTATTGTTTTGTGCTTTCAAGTCGTTTCTGACTTTATATCAACTCTAAGGTAAACCTATCATGGGGTTTTCTTGGTAAGATTTGTTCAGAGCAGGTTTGTCATTGTCCTCCCCTGAGGCTGAGAGAATATGATTTGCCCAAGCTTATAAACCAATATACAGTCCTTTTTACCTGCACACTTATCTGCTTTGCTCCTCACTAATTTGGTGGTAATTTTTTAAAAAACTGAAATAAAACACTATCAGCTTTTCCCATTCACCCCATCGTTGTTTACTAGCTTGCCTAGTGAGGGGTTCTGAAGCATGAATGCCATCCTTGAATTGGCCTAATGCAACATAAGACCCTAGGACAATGAGACTTAGCTTAATCATACCGTAATTTGATTAAGTCTCATTGATTTCACTGCTGTAACCATGATGGGACTGGGACCTGAACTACGGTAACATGTAAAGTGACAACATGGCCATTGACTTGAACTGGCAAAGGAGACATGATGGGTTCTTTGTTGCATGAAGACATCCAATTGACAAAACAACCTTTCAAGATTCTTTCTTTTGTTTAGTTCAAGAAATCACGCACACAACTAAGTTGACTGATACGGATCACAGCATTTCATTATCTCCTTTGTGCCTGTTCTTGAGGACTGTAAAATTAATCTCTCTGGGAAGCTGAAAAAAGAATAGGAAAAGAACATGGAACTGAAAAGCTAGTCAGCTGATTCTTATCAACTCTCCTTCTGAACTTTATAGGGAACATTGTACTGTTCTTCTGTCCACAATAGTGTCATGCAACATTAGATGGGCACATTCCTCTCCCACAGAACCACAAATTCACAAAAAGCGGACAAAAAGGCTCCATACCCCCCATCCCTTCATTAGACTTCACCTTCATTACATCTCCAGCGTCTGCATAGGAACTACAATTTAAAGTACTGTGCACCCTCTTTGACACTTTGGTGCCATCTGTAGGAAAAAGAGGGAAAGAGAGCACACACATTAGAGAGCATTGCACATTATCTACAACAGGTGTGTGGAAGTTTTCTGATTTTTGAGCTTCCCAAAAAAAAAAGTTTCTGGTTTTTAAAAACAAATTGTGTCAGTGTTATTGTGCAATTCATGTACACTTATAAGACTTTACTTGGTGTCTTCAAATGACCAAATAATCACAGAAATAATATCTAGATCCAAAGCTTATAATTACAGATAATGTTAATAAGAGAGGAAGCTGCTGTACAGTGGGTCAGACCTATCCATCTAACCCAGTGTGGCCAATACTGACTGGCAGCTGCTCTTGGGGTCTTTCTTGACCTTACCTATTTTTCTCTGGTATTCACATTTCTTGATCTTACTTATAGTTCACCAGGTATTTTTCTGATAGTCTCCAAACCCTGCCTAGCTTCTAAAATCAAATGAGATTGACTGTGTTCTGGGTGTATGGTACACAATAAGTCAATAAGTGTCCTGGGAGTTTTGTGTTTTTGTTGTTTTTGTTTTGTGTTGTTGTTGTTGTTTTGAGAAGCCCAAATTGAAAGAAAAGAAACCACAGTTTGAAGGATCAGAAAATGTTGGACACAGGAGCTTATTGCACCGCTAAATAAAGCTTCTTACCCCTCCTGAATTCAGTCTTAATTTGAGCAGCATCCAGCTTTTGCCACTGAATCCACCACCCACATCCAGTCTGGGTCCAGGGATGCTCCGATGGCCATTTTCTTAAGTCAGAAAACTCCTGGTTTCAAAAAGAGGTGTGCCGAGTACCCCTGGGGCCCATGCTCTATCCAGGCTGGACACAGGCAGCAGATTCACTGGCACAATCCCTATGATAGTATCCGGATGCCACCCGAATTAAGATTGAAGTCGAGAGAGGTAAAAAGGTTTGTTTTAGTAGTGTGATAAGTTCTACAAACTTAGGGGGCTTATTCACATTTGGAGATCTATACTGAAAAATCCACAAGAATTAAGCAGGGGGAGAAGTCTTGCTCTACATTTACTTCATGGATCTAGACAGTCCTGATTAATCATCTGTCATGTCCCATTTCATCAGCTCCTTTTAAAATGTCCCAGTTAATCTCTCCTTCTCCCACGTTCCCAGTTTGTTATCAGCTTACTTCAGTTGCTGCAAACTGAGTTCAAACTATAAAATTCAATTAACTCATCAGGGAGTTAAGGAGAGGAGGGACAGAGTCTTGCCCTTCCCAATAAACTCATGCAAAAGAAAACTGCTGCAGCTTCTCTAGCTTGTCCTTCCTCAATAAAGTTTGTCATCTTGACAACACTCAGATGCTGCTTGATCTCATGTGTCCTCATTTTCATCTGTGAAAAGTTGGAAGGTATGGATCTGTTAATGTTATGGCAACTTTGTTCTTCCCTTTAAAAAAAATTAGTAGTTCGCATACATTGTTGTTGTGTGCCTTCAAGTCATTTCTGACTTATGGCAACCTATCACGGGGTTTTCGTGGCAAGATTTGTTCAGAGGAGGTTTTCCATTGCCTTCCCCTGAGGCTGAGAGCTTGTGACCTTTCCAAGGTCACCCCATAGGTTTCATGGCCAAGCTGGGAATTGAACCCTGGTTTCCAGATTTATAGTCCAATGCTCAAACCACTAGATCATACGGGCTCCAAATACAATAATATTAAAGTGGCTTAGCAGTTTGTTTATTTAAAAGTTTATTGGCTGTTTTAGCAGTTCATTTATTATAAACTTATAAGCCTTCACAATTTAATATAGACCTTACATTTATTATTAATGAATTAATACAAAGAGAACAAGATGCTGCTATGGGTTTTCACTGATGCAGCTTCAATGGATCCCAATTTCCCCAACAACAGAAAACTCCAATGAAAATGATGAGGTGGGATAGATATTTAAATCAGTGAAGAAACTAGCTATAACTGACTGATCTGAATATGCATAAGTCAACTCACTGCAAAATTATTTCATTTTTACAGCCCCCACTTGGTTTTTAAAATCAAGACAAAACTATACCCTAAATGTACAGTGATTGCCTCATTCTATTACAATTTTCTCCCAAAGAGAAAAAAAAGTATATGTAATTATTATTTTTAAATGATGTTGAGAGTATGTGAAGTTTACTTTCAAAAACAAATATAAGTCATCTAAAATACTACAGTTACTCCAATATGCATGTCAACTGTTAACAATTCCAACCTACTAATATGGTTCTTCTGAACAGGAATCAGTTCCAGAACAGCATATATATTTATGGAGAAGTTCCTTACTCCATCTGCCCACCAGCTTCCCTAGTATCATTTATGCAAGGGCATCTTGAGAATAGAAGACACCATCCCAATAGTACATTTGGCAGAAAGCTGATGCAGAGAACACACAGCCCTCCTTTAGGGCAAATATTTAAGAGCATTGGGAAAGAGAAGACACCTGTAGGGTAGGATCATATTTCAGTCATAGAATGCAAACAAAACAATAGTACAATACATCCCTAGCTTCTCTGGATAAAAGAAGTTTTAGGTAGTGGATGTTGTGAAAACCTTCATTCTGAGGGCCTGTCTACACTAAGGATATACACCAGATATACACAACCACGTCCACACCAAAGCTGCTGTTTTAAGCCATTAGTCCAGTATAAGAGAACCCATTTACTTCAGAGTTTCCAGGAAATTCCATAGTGCCTTTGGTTCTCTTGAATGTATGGATAGCTGGATCAGGTCCGATTCAGCCAAATCCAGCTGTCCAGACAGCAAATGTGATGCCGTTCCTTACCTGTGCTGAGAAGCACAAGGAAGGGGATGGATTTTTGTTGGAGTCACCACCACCACTGCATTCTTGTTGCCTAAGCAGCTGCCAGAGAGAGCCTGGCTGTTGCCATTGCTTCTGCTAAGGTCAGAATGGGGTGCCCTGTGGTCCTCCAGTTTTTTTTCTGGACTCCAAATTCATCATCCCTAGCACTGGCCACACTTATTGGAGTTGGTTGGAGTTGGAGATGAGCAACATTATGCAGCTGGAGGACCATGGGTCTCCCACTCCTGCTCTAGAGAAAAGGACTGAAAAATTCACAAAAAGTGAATCTTACGTTCCATGTTGTAGTTAAAGGCAAGTGCTGAGTGTGAGTAGGTTGAATGATGTTTGGTCTGTAAGGCAATCCCAACTGTTGTCTCTGAAGAACTTGCAAAGATGAAGCATGATTGGCTTTGGTTTCAGCCATGTCCTATGAAACATTCACAAATAAAACAAATTTTGGATAAGATCTTATTGTCTTCCCACTGCATTGTAAAATCACTCAGACAAATGAGTCTGAAAGCAAACTTCAAAGGCATTTGCTCCCATCCATTAATCTATTCTGGTCATGAGGACTCTGAAAAACACATGGAGGTCACTGACTGAATGCTTTTGCCATTCATTCCTCAGGAAGAAACATGTGAATTCTGCACAAAGATTGAATCTTGCCACTGAGATGAATAAGAGATTTCCATCTGTGTAGGAAATCTGTGAGTACATCAGAGGGTAGAGACAATACTCTGTAATGGGGCGCAATTCTGCATATGGAGTGGGAAATCTACCCACAGACACATGTGTGGCAGGCACGAAACTTTATTCAATTGAACTTGATTCAACTTTCCTAAAAACAGGCCTCTTTTTAAGATCTTTGCCATGCATAGACTTTAGGCTTTACATCATGTGGTTTACTGCATTCTTTCTATTAGTTACACCTAGTTTATTAGAACACAAAGATCTCAGAAAAAGTCACTAAATAATAGTCCCAAAATAAATATGAAAAATTTCAGAGATTGAAAAGTAAGAAGTGCATTTTCTTTTTCACATTCTCAAAGGTACCCTTTGGATGAAAATTAAACTGGAGTTGGGATTATATTTTTGTGTCTTTCCTCTCTTTTCCAACCCCCCTAACCCATCCCCCAAACTGGGCTCCTGATACTTAAAGCTTTCTACAATAGCCTCTGGCCAAGCCTGGCTCAGCTGTGTATTCATCAGGCTCTGGAATCCACAAAGAAAGCCAGGATTTATTCCATTCTGTATTAGATTTCAATCTCAAAGCCATTATTTCCTTTTCTGGTGTCTTGCTTTCAGCTTAGTTTTACTGCATGGGTTATTGTTCCCATTGACTTTTCATAATATATTGGCTTCCAAATAAGTATATTAGATCCCCCTCCAGAAGAGTCCAAGATTCCACAAGGAGGAGGCATGTGTGCTGTCACCATTATAAGAGATAACAATATGGCATTTCTTGTGTTAATACAAATCCTGTAAGGAGAAGGTATTTGTTTAGAACAGGGGTGTTCTGGCCTCGACATATGTTGTGCTTAGCTATATGTGTTGGAAGAATTATGCATTACATTCTCCTGTCCCTAATTATATAAATAGTTATTCCCTCCCACTCTCTCATTCTAAATATCATGTGACTTTGGTCACTGATTCTTGGGCACAGTTTAACAGCTCTCTCCCAAGATTCTAAACTGCTAGTAACTGCAGTCAGCAGTCAGTCAGTAGCATGTAGTTTTTTTTCCCCTGCTATCTAAAAGATGGTGAGGTTTATCTCTCTTTAGGATTTAGTTAGTTATATATTTATTTATTAAAGTCATTATCATTTGTTTTTAAACTATGTAAACTGCATGTTTGTCATTTTTGGGAGTAAGTCTTTATTCTTTAGGAAAGCATATTAAGAATAATCTAGTCAGGCTCATAAGTCTGCTGTTCTGCTAATGAAAGCTAGACTCTAACAAGCTTAATTTTCATACTTGCATATTTTTGTTTCCCTTTAAAAGGGTCAACCCCCTGGGAAACTCAAATTGCACCCCACAATATGTTTAGTCGGACAGTTGACTCACATCCAGCCACTGATGTAAATTAAATACTGAGCATTATTGTTGTTGTTTTTATTAAATGTTTTATTTCCATATAAAAATAGACAAACTTTACACAGACATATCACACAGTTTACACATAAAGGACATAAACATACATATACGTACTTATTTTCATACATACATTCGTGGACAAACATATAAGCTTCTTAATGTACTATTGCAATCTTTTTGTATTTATATAACTTCCTTAAACTTAACCCTTGCATAGTGATATCTTATGTTTAAACCCTTTTTATTAACCTTATATTCTATATTTCTATATTTCTTCTTTTCTCTTTTTTCCAAGTAAAATTTTAAAAATACTAAAGGTCCAAATATCACTAGATCCTATGGTTTTTCTATTAAATATAATAAAGCCAGCAAGAGCAGAGCTAGAAAACAAACATCATAGAATATTGCTATACATCGTCACTATGGCAAGAATCATATATGCAAAGTATTGAAAGAAAACAAAAATACCAACAGAGCAAGAATGGGAACAAAAAATGAGAGAAGCGATGGAGTCAGACATATTAACATCATTAATAAGAAACAAAACAAAAGAAGATATGGAACGGGAAAGGACACCATTCTTGAAACATTGGAAAATGAAAGATATTAAGATATAAATATGTGTGTGTGTGTATATATATATATATATATATATATATATATATATATATATATATATATATATATATATATATATATATAGGTGTGAAGAAATACCAGGGTTAGAGAATACTGAGCATTACTGTGGAACTCAATAACATTAACTAAAAAAGGAGATAAAGAAAGGAAGGATGAGTGGCAGAATGAGGTAAAAATGAAATGCATGGCAAAGATGCTTAAGACAATACAAAGACAATTAAAACTAAGATGGACAAACCTGAAGGAGAAAATGTGTATGGGACAACCAAACACAGATACAAAGAATTAGGCCTGATCAGCTGCTAACAGCTTTATATAAAGAAAACTTATAATTACACATAGGACAACAAATCATAACTGAAATGCCCAGTTGGAAGAGAACAAGGGGCAGGAAGCATTTGTCCTCCTGAGATACCATGGGACTGCAGCACCCAGCAGCTCTATGTAGCACAGCCAGTGATGAAAGATCATGGGAACTGTAGTTGAGATGCAGCTACACATGGGAGGGAAAAACAAAGGCATTGTCCCACCAATTAATAATTCAGCCCCACCAAATAAAATTCTCATTCAGTCCTCAAATTTCTAGTATTGCAGAGAGCGAGACACTGAAAATCATTCATAGCTACAACTCTCACATGTGCTATATTTGCCTTGGTAATGTTGTCTGTCCCTTTTCTCTGGATACCTAGACTGTAGTTCTTAATGCAACTAAGGCTTTAAGTTACTGCAATGCTAGAAATTTGGGGAATGAAAGGAAATATCATTTAGTTGGGAAGAATTCTTATTTGGGAAAGCAATGTCTTCATTTCCTCCCGCCACATGTTCCTCACTTGTAGTCTAAAGTTTCATTTGGACATAATGCATTGGGATGTTTTCCTATGTAAACTGCATAGAATGGAATGGGATTTGTAATTTGTAAAGGCTTAAAATTTAAAAATTTGGGAAGAAACAAATGTATCGTTTTACCTTGTTTTCACTTGTCTTTGAAGGTATACCAAGGCAGACTTCGTCATTAACAAAGAGAAGGAGGTCACCTCAGGCAGCAGATGCTGGAGAGCAGCAGCAAAATGTAGATGGAGAGATCTGAGTCAAAAAGTCTGCCCTGAAATTCCTAAGCAAGGTGGCAGC